TAAACTCTGATCAATTTCTTCAACCATGTCTTTGTTAATATTTTCAATTCTATTTTCAATTTCCATTTTGGAACCCACCTAACAAGCCAAAGCTGAAGCAATCCAACAAACTGATTTCTTTGTTCCTCTACCTGGGCAGTTGAATCCAACTGGAGAAAATCACAAAATCCTCAGAAAATTGCCTCTATAAATTAATGTTCTCTGAGCTCAATAGGGCCATTTACCCTGCTCACCAGTTCTCTGTTCTGATAGGGCTTTTCTCCATTTTCCGTAATATCTGATCAAACCATTTCTTATCTCCTCAACCTTCAATACCTTCTCCTTCAATACCTTCCCACTCATTCTCAGCAGAAAATCTTGTCTCCCACTTCACAGAAATATAGAAACACTCTAGATAAGAACTCCTTCAAATTCCTGACACCCCATCTGCAAAAGTGATGGTGAATTATAACTAACTTCTTTCTCTTGTTATGATAGTGAATGTCTCATTTGACTGAAACTAACTCCTCTGCTTGTCCTCTGGATCCCATAATGCTCCCTCAAGAATTTCATTCCAATTATTAGACCTTATCCTATTTTTCCCCATAAGTTCCCTCTTTATCTACTTGCATTTTTGAAAACTCCTGGTGTCTTTTCCATTTGTTTTTATACTTCAAGCCGTCTCCAGTTTTCTTTCCCTCTCTACTCCCTGGCATTGCCAAGCTTCTTTTAACTTTTTTTTTATTAAGATTTTTTATTTATTTGCGAGAGAGAGAATGAGAGACAGAGAGCGTGAGAGGGAGGAGGGTCAGAGGGAGAAGCAGACTCTCTGCTGAGCAGGGAGCCCGATGTGGGACTCGATCCCGGGACTACAGGATCATGACCTGAGCCGAAGGCAGTCGCTTAACCAACTGAGCCACCCAGGCGCCTGGCATTGCCAAGCTTCTTGAAAAAGACATCCGAATCCCTATATCTGCTTCCTCTTTTTTCCACTTATTGTTCAGATCATGGCAGTATCAATGTGATCTTTTAGTCATCCACTGAACGAGCTTTTGGGAAGACTAGTACCGAATTTTTGTTGCTATATGCAATGAATTCTGAGTTTTCATTTGTCTAGTCTCCAGGGAGTGTTTAATATTATAAATCATAACTTCCTCCTTGAACCCAAATTTCCTCTCTTCTGGTTCTTCTCCTACCCCCCTCCTTGATTGCTCCTTCTCAGCCTCTTTATGGATTTGCCTTAATGAACTCACCTATTTACAGGACATTCTAACCTGTATGCTGATGGCCACCTTGACAGAGTCTCTACGGCACAGGTCACTCATTCAGGTCACCTGACTCACTCAACGCACTTGCAGCATGGCATTCTGTAGGCTCTCCTATGGAAAAAAAAAAAAATGAAAGTGGAATGTCTAGATTCATTTCCAGTCAAGGATCTTCATTTCATTATCTCCCACAAAACAAATTTGTATGCAAGTCTGAAAGCCTAAGATTCCTCTGGCAGTATGATTAGAGAGATATTTTCTAGTGTTTATCTTGTCTTTGAAGGTTTGAGTGATAAGCAAAAACTTAAATAATGAAGGCAAAAGTTTAAAATACCAGAAAATGCAGGAGAATGACTTCATGATCTTTTGTCAGGGAAGATAATTGAAAGATCAGCTTCAAACTAGGCACACACATTTAAAACACCTATAGCTGTAAAATAATTGGTATCCAGAATTTATAAATAAACTGTTTGAACAAATAAGCAAAATAGACATACCAGGCAAAACACAAAAACAGACATTTCATAGAAAAGACAGTGTCAGATGCAGCTGAAGTTTTTGAAAGATGGGCGAGGTCTCTTGAAGCAGAATGATCCCTCAAAACACCCATTCATAATCCCCGAGACCTCTGAAGATATTACCTCACATGGCAAAAGGACTTTGCTGGTGAGATTAAGTAAAAGGCCTGGAGATCAGACATTGTTCTGGATTCTTCAGGTGGAGTTAACATAACGAGAGTCTTTAAGAGTGGAAGAGGGAAGCAGAAGAGAGAGTCAGAGGAAGGTATGAGTCTGGAAGAAAGGCATGGAGAGATCCAGGTTGCTGGCCTGAAGATGGAGCTTAGGGGCACAAGCAAAGCAACGCAGGCGGACTCTAGAGGCTGGAAAAGGCAAGGGGACGGATTCTCCCCTCATGCCTCCAGAAGGAAGGAAATCCTGACAACAGCTTGATTTTAGTCCAATGAAGCCCCAGCTTAGATGGCTAACATTCAGAGCTTGCCGATAATAAAGCTGAATGGTTTTAAGCCAGCAAGTTTGTTGGCCATTTATTGCAGCAGCAATAGGAAACATCCATCTCTTCAATTCTAAATTACGTGGGGATGCTCTCCGACTTGATTTTGAGGTACTCTAAAATACACCAATATCATGAAACTTAAAAAATCAATCTATCAGTCACACTGGGGATCTGCTGGAAAGCCAGAGAGCAGAAATGACAACGAATGCCGCCACCACCATGCCCACTGCCACTACTTAGTTTGGGCTTAGCCGTGCATGTCCCAAAAATTAGCCACATGTGTTCTGTATTTAAATCCAGCAAGCAAATTCACAGGACCAGACACATCATTCCCCGTTGACAAATAAGGAACTGAGAAGTTAAGAGAGTTACCAATTGTTAAACCACACTGCTGGTTAATTTGTATGGGACTAAAATCATTTGATAGCAAAAATGAATTTTATTTGTGAGATCGCTGGCACAATGATGTGCTTGATCGGTAATCCAATTAATTATAATAAATGTATACATTATTATGCATGTATTATGTGCTATCATTAATATAGCTGTGAATATAATTATACCTATAAACACATAATTTTATTGAGGGACTCCTATCTGTTGCATCAATATTTACATAAAAAATTAATCACAGGTAAAAATCCCTCAAAATGTGGCATGGATCCTAAGAAACATTAACAATTAACTCTATAGGACTAGTCTTCAGCCTAAAACCATTGTGGTAAGAGGAAAAGAGCCATTTGTGAATAGTTCTTATTCGACCTATTTTATTTATTTTTTTAAAAAGATTTTATTTATTTATTTGATAGA